GATAGATAGATAGATAGATAGATAGATAGATAGATAGATAGATAGATGGACAGACAGACTTTCCCAAGCTGGGGAATAGCTTTACACATAGTGACAGTCACAACAAAGCGCGGTAAAAAGTCAAATGGAGTAAGATAACATATAACTTTCATATTTTGTATCAAGTGTTCTTAGCCCTGAACAGCATGTTTACCCACATGCATCTGTCCTGTCCTCTATTTCCCATTCCCTATGCAGACTCTTTCCTTTCTCTTTTGACTCAGCTGTCTGTTTTGCAGGTGTAGCTGCATCTCAGGACCAGGACTTTGGGACCGCCAACCTCCACGTGGAGGTCTCTGACGTAGTCTCTGTTCTGGTCTACGTTGGAGTTGCAAAAGGCAACGGAGTTCTGTCCAAAACAGGTAAAAGCCTCCAGACATTTAAACGATCACAAGAGCTTTTACAGCTACCAGGAGAGATTCATTCTATTAGAAGTATCTCATAAAAGACACGAAAACATCAAATCTGTCCATGACTGCTTAAAGTGGAATTACCAACAAAACCTGGTTTGGTGTTTGGAGAGTTTGCTGACATGTCTGGGTTTTTATTATTATTATTATTATCATCATTATTATTATTATCTGGCTGTTTGTTGAAGGATCAAATTCAGGGAGGGAGGCTTTTTGAAAAGATAACAAGAATGTGTAAAGTATAAGTAGTTAATGCTATTTTTTACCAGCTACATGGTTATATTGTCTGTGCAGGGGTGTTGAAGCGGCTGGAGGAGGAGGACCTGGACGAGCGCGTCCGCCGGAGGCTGAAGGACTCCAGCGAGACGCCGGGGGCGCTGTGGCACATCTACCTCAACAGAGACTTGGACAAAGTCCAAGAATTCCTGCACAAGGTTTGTTTTAAGGAGCCGCCACAGCGGGGGAAAGGCCGGGCCGTGGAGCTGAATGTTGACCTCACAGCTCTCCCTCCCCCACCCCCCACCCCCCCAGCTCTGCAGGGAGCAGGGCCTGGCCGTGGCCCTGGACCAGGACCCGGTCCGGGAGCAGGGCTGGTACCTGAGCAGGAAGCAGCGCCAGCGGCTGCTGGACGAGCACGGCGTCCTGGGCTGGACCGTGGTCCAGTTCCTGGGAGACTCTGTCCTCATACCGGCTGGGGCCATGCACCAGGTGGGTTTCAAACGAGGGCAGAGGATGACCCCCTGCACTCGCCTGCAGGTTTACCTTCAGACTTTTCCAGTGGCTGTGGAGTCACATCAGCCAAATAATGCACCAAAAATCTGAAAAATATATACATAAGTAGCACAAACATTTACATTTTTATTATAAATATTATCTATTATTATTATACTATTATGATTAAAGTTTAGTTAAAAAATATTTAGCAAATTCCAAGTTGAAGAGCAGTCACAACCTTCCTCAGAAGTGGTCACGGATCCAGAGCGCCCTCTAGTGGCTGTAGCTGGGAGACTTTACTCCTCAGTCAGTATGAAGTACCATTTAAAAACCAATACATTTTTACATGAAAGTCACAGGACTGGCCAAACTCTAACACAGTCTGATAGCAGCTGAAGCCTTCACCAACTATCAGACTTCATGTTCTCCGTCTTCCTCCAGAAAACACCAGTGAGGGGACCAGGCTTTATCTCTATAACCCCATAAATCCTCTGCTCCACCTCTGTCAGGTCCAGAATCTTCACAGCTGTGTTCAGGTCATCAACGACTTCGTGTCCCCTGAGCACGTGGCCAGTTCCTTCCAGCTGACCCAGGAGCTGCGGCCCAATAACGACGAGGTCAACTACGAGGACAAACTACAGGTGAGGGAGCCTCCACAGCCTTATCCTTTATTCTGATGACTGTCTGCATGTGTGTGGATGAAGGACGTCCCCATCCAGCTGTTTGATACTGATCCCGGCCTATCAGAGCATGTCCTAAAGTCTAAAGTTATTTATCTGCTTCCTTAGTTGTCAGACTCCTGTTGAACAGGGATGTACTCTGATAACAACTATCCAGCTGAATTAGGGGAGTCTGAATAACACACACTGGTTGGTAAAGAGACACTGACCTGTTTATTCAGGGACAAACACTAAATAGACCAAATTATAAATAACTAACAGAAATGGTATCAGAGAACAGTAAAAAGTGTCAATAATATTGTAAACTGTATTAAAAAGGCAAAACACACAAACACCCTGAATAGAAAATAGTCCATTAACTCAGCATCAGAATTCTGTTTTACATCCAGCTCTTCCTCTTTTTGTCCTTAAGGATAAAATAATCCCACACAGCTGACATTTTTACAGATAGCTTCACATTAACATGGTTAGGTCCTAATGGTTAGGACACAGAGCTGTGGGTCAGGAGATGCTAATGCTAATGCTTAAGGCTGGATATCAGGGACCAACACAGCCAAGTGGAATGGATTATTTCTTTAAAACTGGATCTGGAGTCGGTGTTTTCTCCTGCGGGCGGATAGACAGTTTTTGGCAAATATGGGCGGCCGATCAGATATTGGATCGGGACCAGCCTAGTGTGGATTGTTGTTGCTATTGTTCATGATTAGCTTTTCAGCTTGGTCATGAACTACCACAACCAATCACAGGTCCTGATGCCAGCCGCTGGGATTTCGGGGCCCAGGTTGGGCTGGGGTTGGGTTCAGGAATGAACAGGAACTCGTTCAGATTGTGGCTCTGTAGTTACCCTCTTTGTCCCACTGGAAGCCCAGAGGAGGAAGCACTAGTGCAGCAGGAGCATGAACCAACACAGGGGTTGGGGGTTTGGATGGTGGAGGAGCTTTTACAGTACTGTGCAGGTCAGCTCATGTGTAAGGTGCGTTTCCACACATTGTTGTAACCGTTAGCATGGAAATAGGATCTTATTAGTGGATACTATAGTTGGGCCTGTCCCAGATGGTGGGAACCCTGGACAGTGTCCAGTCCACTAAAGGGCCACACAGAACAGAGAGGACCATCTGGAGTTACCGGTTAGATCTGACAGGGAATCAGTTCAACTGTTGATGCCCCCCCTCCCCTCCCCTGTGCCCCCCCCCCAGGTGAAAAACATCCTGTACCACTGTGTGAAGGAGGCCGTGAGCTCCCTGAGGAGGAGCAGAGACGGGGAGGAGGAGAACTCGTGACCCCCCCGGGCCGGGGCCCCGCCTTACTCCCAGCTCCTGCACCACTCTGCTGGTGGGGGGGGCTGATCACATGACCCAGCAGGCTGCTCCACCCACCAGCCCAGCAGGAGACTGGACCAGGACCAGGAGTTCAGCTGGACCAGGACCAGGAGCTCTGCTGGACCAGGACCAGGAGCTCTGCTGGACCAGGACCAGGAGCTCTGCTTGACCAGGACCAGGAGCTCTGCTGGACCAGGACCAGGAGCTCAGCTGAAAGGAAGGAGTCATCAGGTACTGCTGGAAAACTCAACTCCTTAGTGTCCGGCCACACCCCCTTTTGAGACTCAGACTCAGACTGAGACTCTGTCAGACTGAGTCTGAGTCTGGGGGGCGCGGTGGGGGCCGGTGGGATCGGGTGGAGCTGGTGGGATCGGGTGGAGCTGGTGGGGACTCTGAGGCAGCCAGAAATCCAGGATGAGCTGATCTGTGTGTGGCGGGAGGCCAAACCGTGTCTTACACAGATGATGTTCCTCATCACAACAGCATCACCAGCAGCTTCAGGAGTAAAAGTGACATCTCTGAGATTTCAAAAATCAAGAGAAAAAATGTACATAAGGGTTCAAAAAAAGCAAAGCAGTAATGTCAGACACTCGTTCCCTCATGTGTTGTCCCCTCTGTAACCGTGGTGATGGTCTGCTTTCTAGATGGACGTCTGTTGTGTTTTGTTCTCCTGTTTTCCTTTAATCATGCTTTTGATTCTTATGTGATGATGCAATGTTATTGAGCAGAAAACAGAAATGTGAGTTGTAAAGTTTTCTTATTTTTCCCGTGGACTTCCTTTCTAACGTCTGCTGTGGAGGAGGAAACACACACACGCACACGCACACACACACCTCGACACCAGCTAATGCCTGTACCTTTGGGAAATGTTGATGCTCCACAGTCCTCATGCCATAAATCCATCTTTGAAAATTAACTGCCAAACTATTATTAAAGCTGTATAAAGCTGTATTATGTAAAGAAAAAGGCTTCTACACTCATGCGCAGCATTTTCTGAAAAAGTAACCGTTGTAAAATTAAGACATTTACAAAAAAAGATGTAATTTATTTAAGAAAAGATTTGTCTTGCTTTTGCTAAGATTTACTATTGTGAACTTTTGAAGTTAAAGGTTAAAATAATTACAAAGTTACTATAAATTGTAAATATATACATATATACATTAACAGGTATTTTTTTATAAAATGGTTTGCTTCGATTTCAAATTTTAAAGTGCAAGTGTTACATGCTTTGTACATTGAATTCAAAAGGGTTTTACATTTTCCATTAAAATGGATTTATAAAACATTTGGTATGTCTTTTTGCTCTGGGATGGGGGGGGGCAGTTTCTTAGCTTTCTGATCATTCTTATGATGACCTTCCTTTTTCTCTCCTGCCCTAAATATGCTGTCCATAAGAAAAAAATCTAATGTCTCCACTTCCAGTTTATTTAGCTACAAACCAGGTACAGGAACTCTGAGGAGTTCTCCCAAATACTGTGTTTTATGTATGAGGGGGGGGTTTGAACCAGTCCGACAGGTCTCCAGTCCATCACAGAGACACACAACCACACAACCCCGGTCACTCCTAGGGCCAGTTTGGAGGCTCCAGTTGACCTAACATGCAGGTTTCTGGACAGTAGGAGGAAGCTGGAGAACCAGAGAGAACCCCGGCAGACACAGGGAGAAGGCAGGTCCCCCCATTGAGAGGTCTCCAGTCCCTCACAGGTTCACAGAGACACAGAGACACACAACCCCAGTCCCTCCTCGTCCCTCTTACCTGGTGAGTGTGGAGGGGCAGCATCCGTCAGCAGAACTGTGAAGTTGTTCCAGACTTAAATGGTAAACTATCAGTTCAATTCAACTCAGTTTTATTTCTATAGCCCCAAATCCCAACAACAGTTATCTCAGAGTTTTTCATAAAGAGGTCACACCACTCTGAGTTATTTACGATTAAAACTGCTCTTGTCCAACTCTTCTCTACGCAGCATGAAGTAGGACAGCACTGCCCCCTGCTGTCCGTCCACCGTTTGTTTCTCTGCGCAGACGCTGGTGAACTGGTGTCTGTCTTCTGCAGCTTTTTCCTTTTCTCTATCCTCTCTCACCCTCTTTCTTTAATTTGTCCCCTAAAACATAAATAAACATCTATGAGGAGAGCCCTGTGGACTTTGGTTTTATTTTTCTCCAAAAAGAAAGCAATAAGTAAACAAAGGTTATAAAAAAAAAAGCTCAAATAAAACAGGGTTATGAGGAAATACTTAGATTTTTCACTCTCTGTGCAAAAGGCCAGTAAATGAAAGAGAGTGAGATTTAGAAAAACACCCGTTTACCATAAAAATCAGTCTTTAGACCATCATTTTCCACATCAACATGAAAGTTAAAGTCGCCTTCTGTGGTGACTGAATCTGTGCCCAGCCTGAACTCAGATACAGATCTGAACATCTATCTATCTATCTATCTATCTATCTATCTATCTATCTATCTATCTATCTATCTATCTATCTATCTATCTATCTATCTATCTATCTATCTATCTATCTATCTATCTATCACACAGGAGCTCTTTTAAGCTGGGCCCCGTTTCATTCACAACACCTGTCCCACCAACCAGGAACCAGAACCAGATGTTTACAGTAGAAACAGGAAGATATCAACCTGTGGATTATCTGAGGATCTTAGTACTGAATGCCCCATAACAAGGGACATTTACACACAATAGGACCAGTTTGATACAACACTATTTCAGACTATATATAGAATTAGGGGGTCCCCCTCCATCAGTTTGGGGGTCCTTGGTCTGGAGAAGGTTGCAGACCCCTGCTGTAAATGTGTTCTGGCCCCTGCTGGACCTTTGGACGCTGGTGTGTGTCTGGTGTTGTGGGAATGCTGGGAGCTCTTCCTGTTCTTACCTCCAGCACTGAACTGGAAAAACTCACAAATCTGCTCTTCATTATATAAGCAGAAACTGTGCCCCCTGGCACTGTGTGTGTGTGTATGGGGGGGTGAGAGAGGGAAAGAGAGAGATAGGTTAACTGGAGTACACTGAGGCAGAAGTTCAGCCTTCAGTTCAGACAGAGGTCACTGTGTCCACGTTCTCTTTTCCTCTTTTTTAACTCTTCACTCTAAATTCTGGATCTCTTTCTTTTCATGACATTCAACTTTTCTTATTGCAATCCACATCTTTGTTGCTTTCTTAATTTCAGACTTTCCATTTTGTGTGTGTGTGTGTCTGTGTGTGTGTGTGTGTGTGTGTGTGTGTGT